AACTTTAAACTGAGGCTGTTATTTATCACTAAGTGAGAACATTTCCAACTGTCTGCACATTCATCCATCACAAACTCACAGAAAATTGACTTTTATTAGGAACCAGGTACCGGCAAATCCTCACTTTAAATTGAACAGCTATTTTCCACAAAGTTTGCTGCTCATAACAGGTCACAGTTTTCAGTGCTTTAACAACTTTTTCTGGTATGGACAGGAATTTCTTTAAAACATAGAGAGAATAATCTGGTCTTAAAAGTATCTGTATTTGCGTGGGTATAGTTAAAACAGAAGCGACAATAAAATGTTAACAGCACATTATATAAAGACTCGAATCTGCTTAAACATTCATATGGTATTTGGTACAACTGAACCCCCTTCTTTAATGGGATATGTAAGAACTTTTTAAGTGTTTTAGCTACAGTGGATGTCAGACAGCTCTGCCCCCTGTAACAAGAAACTGCAGAGAGAACCTGTATGCAAGCTAGGCTACAGTTTCATGCAGATGGGGCACATCGTCTACCACATCATCATTGTTGTCGTTTTCTTCCGCTTATCCGGGTCCGGGTCACTGGGGCAGCAGCTTCAGGAGCGAAGCCCAGACGGCCCTCAGCCCAGCCACTTCCACCAGCTCCTCCTGGGGGATTCCCAGGTGCTCCCAGGCCAGGAGAGAGATGTAGTCCCTCCACTTGGTCGTGAGCCAGCCACATGGGACATATTTGGAACACCTCTAACGGGAGGTGTCCAGAAGGCATCCTAACCAGATGTCCGAGCCACCTCAGCTGACTCCTCTCAATGTGGAGGAGCAGCGGCTTTACTCTGAGTGCCCTTCCAAATGTCCGAGCTTGGAGGAAACCCATTTCAGCTGCTTGTATCTGGGATCTCATTCTTGCAGTCATTACCCAAAGTTCATGACCTTAGGTGAGGGTCGGCACGTAGATCGACTGGTAAATCAAGAGTCTTGCCTTACAGCTCAGCTCTTTCTTCACCATGACAGATCGGTTAAGCGTCCGCATCACTGCTGACACCGATCCAATCCACCTGTCGATCTCCCGCTCCATCCTACCCTCACTCGTGAACAAGATCCCGAGATACTTGAACTCCTCCACTTGAGACAGGACCTCCCCTCCGACCCGGAGAAGGGGGTCCTGAACTGTAGATGGATTGGGCAGCAGACTAAAGCAGGAGCCTTGACAGTCTGATTCTGATCCTTGGTCATGGAAACTCTACCACATAACTGAGCTAATCTGGAGACTTCAACTCTAACACTCAGCTCAGTTCAAGTGTCAACCCATCTGCAGAAAACTAGCCTAGCTTGCACGCTGGATCTTCCTGCAGTTTCTCATTAAAAGGGGCTGAGCTGATGGACATCTATTATGTCTAAAACACTTAGTGATGACATGTGATTTACAACCTCACATCAGAAAAACATTCTGGCATATCCCTTTAATCTACATGACGCAGGTTGTCATGGTGAGTATATAAAAATGTCAACACTGTAATAACGAGACAGGATATGACAACGTTTGAGAACAAACACTCACACACCCATCCCTCAGCTCCGTGTTTACCTGCAGGTTTAACCCTGAATCTCAGAGTAAATATGAACACACATTCATGCTGACCTGCGTTTGTGTGTTTGAAGAGACAGTAGTAAAGTCTGTTCTGACACCTTCAAACAGACGGACAGGAGGTAAACTTCTGTGGGAGGATTTGATCGGTTGTGGAGGAAGAGGAGGAAACGGCGTGTTTGTCACGTGGCAGGAGTTGCTGGGGGTTGTTGTTCCTTTCTTTGTCTGAGACTTCCAGCTTTTCTTTCAGAGACAGCTGGAGCTGACGACTCCTCACGCTGACGCTGAGTCATGCTTATTTTATCGGGCTGCTGGAGTTTGTGTTTGTACCGTCACTGTTCTACAGAGTGTTCAGCTTGTCTCTACAGATTTCACACTCAGCGTTTCTCTTAATTACAATATGTTACTGTCTGTATTAAAGGTATGCATACAGCCTCTTATCCAATCTCTCAGTCCTCCCAGAATGCCTTGCTGTTTGCCTGAAGCTGGAGGTTCAGGGGATCTGCTCTGCTCAGAAAACTGCAATAATGGCTCCATTAGTTTCATGTGCAGACACGTATTATGAAAGTTATTTGATGTATTTTCAATCTGTCTTCACTCTGCCTCCCAGCCTTACTATCACAGCCCACATCTCCTGAGTGTTTTATCAAGACAAGCCTTCCTCTGAATATAAATGAACAGATTTTCATTCTGCCGCCTCACTCTCTCTACATCTGTTTCTATTTTTCATGATTGTGAAGATGGGAGCGCGCTTTCTTCCAAGGCTGTGAAACAAAGTGATTTGTTAGGTGTTATTATACAGTGTGTTCGCAGTCAGCTCTGTTGTAATGTAATCTTGCTGTATGGACGTCCTGTTTGTCTGATTTATGATGGACAGGAGCCTCAGAGTCGATCAATTCTTACATCACCATCCTGACATTCATCACTCTGAAAGGTTTGAAAACACGGATGGATAAGAGGATCACTCAGTCATACAGCTTTTGCATATGCTTTCTCGCTGTACAGGTGTGCTTTTAGCCTTGTAAGCTGCATGGTGTAAAGCCTCCAGGTGCTGAGTCAAAAATAAAAATAAAAAGGTACATGCAAATCTGTGCGTGAGGTTTGCAAACCACAGATTTCTGCAGAGAGATTTGTAACCCATGGCTATGAGTTAGTCATCGTTAATCATCTTTATGCATCTACTGTTCATTATTGTTTCATTTGCTTTTAAAATATGCAGACTTAGGAGCAGATTACCCAAATTTACCTAAGAGCTGAACAATAATACAAGACAGTTAGAAATCTGTAACTGGTTTGCAACTTCAGCTTCTTCTACTCTTCTCTCATTTGCTGAATTAGAGCCACATTTGCATTTATCCATTTAAAGTTGTTGTTTCAAGTCCTGCAGGAGTTTTGACTCTTTCTACTGTCACAATGTCCCATAGTTACTGGTAAGTAATGTTTGACATTTTCCTATATTTCAGATTTCATAATACTGTCAGCCCTCTCTGTATTTAATTGGATTTGTCACAGAACACTGAGCAATCTCAAAACAACGCAAAATACAAAACTAATTGATTAAAAACAAGCTGAAATGTTTATTGTTTAACTCTTTATCAACAGAGCTCGCCCACTAATACACATATTTCTCCCAAAAAAGCTGCCACGGGGCTACAGTTAGTTTCCACCTGTTCTCTTGCCTTGATATAGATGGTAATGATAGACATTTAGAAATATTTCCCTGAGAGAGTAAACACATAGTTTTCAGGCCATCAGTGCAGACTGTTTGATGTATTTCTCCATCATGGAAAGATGAAGTTTCTTATTTCTAAAGCTGCGTCTCTGCGGAGGTTGAACTTCAGTTTGATATTCTGTCTCTGAGCTTCTCGCTGCAAATCATAAATTATTCTGTCAGACACTTTACAGTTATTGAACATCACACAGTCGCCCACACGTCTACTCTCAAACCAACTTATTTTCAAATTTGGGCTCTGTTTAAATCTTTAAAAACTGACTTTTTACAGAGTATTCATGGGCTGGCATGTTCCTCGATGACCACAGTAGGCAACAGCCATTGTCCTATCATGAGAGGAAAATATTTTATCTTAATTCAGAGCTGCCAAGTGTCACGCAATCTGACCCATTCTCACACCACACGCCACAATTGACATTTCTCTTGCTTATATTTCCCTATTCAATAGTCTGCATTTATTTTTTTCATGATAATAAGCATGGCTTGCCGTAGTTCAAGTAACTCTGATTGACTGACCGAGATAACCAATCCCAGACCAATCCACCAGTCCTTTGTGCCAACCACGGAATTGCACCACGCAATGTAAACCAATCAGAAGGAACGTAAGGTGGGTCTTGGCGTCTCTAACTATCTTTCACACACAACAGTGGCGACATTTAAAACCCCTCGACTACCTAATTTTGATTGTACAAAATTATTCCAAATGAGTTCACTTTTCAAATATTTTTACTAGTTTAATATCAATGTAGGACAAATATTGCTATTTTAAGGTACAAATCAATGTTAAAAAAGGCCATATTTCTTTTGCTGCACACAGATTGGCACATTATAACGCTAAAGTCTCACTCTTGTCATTTTCTGAAACTTGGCAGCCCTGTTGATTATGTTTTGCAAACAGATTTTACCATATTTGAAAAACACAATAGGATAGGAAGATAATGAACTTCGATGGACAGTTTACTTTTTGAAACATGTCAACACACCAGGACGCAGCAACAGAACAGGAAGCGCAAAAAGGCCTAGTTCACCTTAGCTAAAAGGGAGCAGCAAAATAGAAAAGTATAACAGGCTAGCTAAAGCTTATGTTAGAAAAGGTGTTAACAATAGAAACAAAAGATTGTTTACTATCTAGAAAGTAAGAACGGATGTCTAGCTAATGTTTATGTTAGCTAAAAGGTTGTGGAAGATTAGGAAAGTAATGGCTAGCCAATGCGTTAGCTAGTTGGCAGTAAAGGAACAGAAGGTACAAATAGCTAGCTGTTAACATTCGCGAGCAGGTGGCTACAGAATAGAAAAGTAGAAAATAGTTTATGCATGTTAGCTGGTAGTGTGCTAATGTTGACCCCTGACAGTGAATATGAAGAGTGAGAAAGCCTTAAACTGATAGTCTACTTAGCTAACAGTAGGCTAATTTGTCGGCAGTGGTGATATTAGCAAAAACCATTATGAAAACCAAAATGAGGTTCCTTAAAGGCTTAATTGAGAGTAGCCACTGCCCTAACTCTAAGTCAGATTTTTCATAGCGGCTTGGTTAATGTTTGCAATTATGTTAGCATGAGCATGGATATTTCTGTTTACAGATGTGTTAGCAGCATGTTCATGGGACTTTGTGTTCCAGCATGTGGAGCCAGAGTGTTTTGAACCGCTGACATCACGTCCTTATGAAAATGTGGCCCGGAGAGGCTCCTCCCTGTCCCGGTGACATCAGCCGGAGCTCGGCTGCTTTCCTCCAGGAGAACCCGGAGGATCCGCACACACACATCCAGCAGCACGGGGAGAGGACGACGGCTAAAAACTGCGCTTCAAGGGGGTTTGTCGCTTTATTTATGGGACTAAAAAGGACTTCTTCATCTCTGCGAGGTAAGCCGACATTTCCCCATTGTCGTCACCTGTTAATGCATCTGTTGAAAGGTTCTTTTTTTCGTGTTTTTGACTCTAAAAAGTGAGTGAATTGTTGGAGTTGCTCCACCTGGGAGCGACGGTTTCCATCCTGGAGCCAAAGAATGAGCTGCAACTTTTCCCTGTGGATATCCAACCCCAGAGCTGCTTTTTCTCTGGAGTCTTACGCTAAGATAATAGCGGGTAATCGAGAGCAGACTGGTGTAGTTTGACTTGTCAGTGTCTGGTCTGGGTTCAGACTGTAACGGTTTGGCTTCATTCCTCTCTTATTTTCTGGTATCTCTGTTTTTTGTCGGACCATTTTTCAGCCTCTGTCTCTCTCTCGCTGTGGGTGTAACTATCAGAACCTGCTGTTCCTCCACAGTGAGGGCTGTTTCTCTGCTTTTTTATGTCGTTAATGTCATCAAAAGTGGTTGTAAGTGAAGCCCTGTAAGTTTAAAAAACAGACAAAGCGTTGTAAAGCTGTTACAGATATCATTAGGTTTCTAACTGTAATGGTTATTACCCTCTGATTAATCGGTCAGACTCACTGTAATGCTAATGCTTTCTGTTTCACGGTGGTCTGTCTGCAGCTGTGGTGGGGGCACGGTGTGAAGGATAAGGGGTTTGTTTTGGGTCTCTGGTTGCCATGGCAATAAATAACATCATCTTTATAATCCTAACAACAACACCCTATGTTTGCATAAAAGCAGATCAAAAATACAAAGTGTTTTCACTTAGAGGTGTTTAGTATCTGCAGAAAATTTCATTTATTCATTATATTAATACAAAGGGGCATTTTTCATATTTGTCCTCATAAGCCTTAGGTTACTTAAAGAAACTTGTCATCTTAGTCATGATAAAAACTCTAATATTAGAAACTTATACAATTGTAAGCATAAGGAATTCATGTGATTTTATTACTCATTGGCCTACAGATACAATCACAGTCATCCAAACTTAAGGCAGCAGAAGAAAAACATTTCACAACTTAAGGTCCTTATAGAACGTGAAAGTACGAAATATCTAGAAACGTCATTACACGCTCAGCCAAACGGTCAGCACTTATAGCCAATCAGAGGCAATAAGATAAGCACATCAAACTATTGTTAGCTTACGTCAGCACAGATGAAAGTTAAAACAAAGACGTTGAGCAAACTGTTGAAGCACACAAACTATCGTCATATGAGATCCGACGCTACGACTCTCCACAAGTTGTCCTTCAGGTCGTCATCTTTGTAATGTGGAAGATGTTTTCCAACACATACACAATCAGCCGGTCGGCCATGTTGGATAAACCGGTGACCCTGACATCGCAAAAACACGCAATCTGATGGTCAGAAGTGGACACACAGTATGCAAAACTTTTAAAAATCGATCATGATCCGAAAAAATAAATGCCACAATATCACAGAATGGGGAAAATGTCAGGATACGGGTGCGAAAAAAAATATTGATGTCCGAAATAATTGCACAACAAAACCAGTCCCGGTGTGAAAGGACCTTTAAAAGAAAACTTTGACACCTAAAAAAACTATTTTTGTGTGTGTGAAACTCCAAGGGTGGTGATGTGATATTACTTATATTAAGCAGGCAGGAGGAGGACCCAACTGAGCATGTGCAGAGCCAGTGTCAGAGCTACAATTTGTTTATTGTTTCAGATATTGAGTGTGTTACAACTGCCTCTGGTCTTCCCTACTATCCCAATTCCTGACAGGAAAATAATCTGCTATAAAGAAATGTCTATTTTTAAAGGTTAAAAAGGGACACAAAATCAATAAGGACAAGGTTTTCATGTATTTAAGGGTGGAAAAAGTATGATTCAGCTCCCTTATTTTCAGGAGGTTAGTGCAGAAATTTCATGCAACAGGAAAAATATTTGGATAATACCAAAAGAAATAAGTTTGTATGTAGATTTACATATTTTATTTGATTGTATTGCAATGTCACCTTAAGTTGCATTTGGAGTATGGGTGCATTGTTTTCAGTTTAATATACACAGAGGCTGGAACCGAATCTACTGTTATAGTAAATCAAACCATTAATTTGTTCACATACTTGATTGTTTTTTGTTCTCAAAAGGGCATGTTGTGAAAAGCAGATGTGGTAAATGTCGGGTTTTCTAAAGAACTTAATAAATCTGGACCGATCTCCTGATTTAAACTTCTCAGTTTTTCAGGTTGTAAAGTTTTAATATATTTAAATGATCCTCAAAAGTTCAAATTTGCCAAGAAGTAGGGCTGCCAAGTGTTCTCTAAATATCAAACATAATGTGTGTTCTTAAACTTGATGACTCCTCTATCATTAAGATTTACCCCCTCATTCATTGACTTTAATGTTAAACCTCTTATGCAGCTTATTTGTCTTATTATTCTGAATAACCCTGCTGAGGTCAGAATTACTGACATGTAATTGTGGTTATAAAGAGAACAGCCATGCAGCTTTAGTGAAGAGGAGGTGAAGTCGATGTCTGACAGCAACATGCTGCGGTGAGAAGTTGGCGTTTTAAACCTGCTGTTCAAGAGGAAGGGAAATCTGTTTACTGTGATTCTTCGACTACAACATCAAACTTCACCTTTGACCCAGCGTAGCTACTATTTTTCAGCGCACATAGTTTCCTGCATTGTGTGTTTTTAAAAGCCAAATACTGAAGTTACTGGTTCCCTTTATCCCGTTCTTACTTTCAGAGCGCCAGCTCAACGTGGAGATCTCGGTTGGCTGATCATTTAGGTCTGACATGTATCACAGCTGATAATGTTTGAATGCAGAAGACTTAATGAGCTTCGTATAGGAACTGAGTTATCATCATAAGCTGAATATAAGCTACTGCTCATCTGCCTCAGGCTAACACATCAGCTGCAGCTTGCGGGCAGCTGCTAACTAGTATGATTTGTGGTTTTCTGACTCCGTTGTGGTATGAAATGAGGATATCAAACTCCAGCTGTTTTCTTTTTTTTTTGACCATGGATGAATAACTTTTTACACTTTCATTAGTATGTGGATGTCCAAGTAGAGAAAGAGAGAGGGACAGAGGGGTGTGGGGTGGAATGAGGTAAAGGGCCACAGGCTAAAGTCGTACCCAGTGTTGCCACTGTTGCTGCATTTATGGTCTCAGTTTGTGAGTAAAGAAGTTGGTCCTCTGATTTGCTGCTGTTGACTGCTTTATTGAATGACTTTAAACTGGATCTTAAGCGTTTGTGTTTGTTACTTATCGGGTTCGTTTATCCTTTAAGCACCATGTTGCTTGTGTTACATTTCAACCCCGGGACTAATTACCCTCTATTATGCAATAGCATTATTCATTGTTTGTACAATGCCTGAGCTGGGATGATGAAAAAAGCCCGCGCAGGTTTAACTGATGAATCTGAAAGTATGTTATCACTGTCTGTGGTTGAGCTCATCTCTTTATAGTTAACGCTGGCTCACAGCTGGAGCTGAATACTCCTCATTGTTTGAATGAGTTCATGTGACTTCAGATACCCTCACCCTCCCCACCCTCTCCTCGCCTGCAGGGGTGAACGTGCGTCTCCTGGCGTGGCGAGGCACAGTTCCAGCTGATTACAGCAAAGTTATGACAGGATGTGCACGGCTGGAGCTGGCATGAGGCTGGTACCCCCTCCCCACCCAACCCTGACCTCATACTGAGGCCACCCTGTCAGATTTACATGACTGAAGGCGCCCATTATCCCCGCAGTGACTCATACAGGAACTATAGTTCACCTCCTTCATGCTCCATCAGCTGGGGCTCAGACGAGTGACCGCTCACTGGTCTGAGAGTCGTCTCCACGTGTTCCCAAAGACTAAAATAACTTTATCAGTTTGTTTTTCACGAACTGCTTGAACTGATTGTTCAGTGACAGGATGTCAATGTTAACATCCCTGCTCCTGTTGGTTTTAGCTGCTGGTTCTGTGACCTGAAAGCTGAAAAGTCTCTCAGTCAGTTTGTTGTTTTGCTTTTAAGTGGAATTAGTGGTTTCGTAAATTTGCTTATTTGCAAAACTGCATGTAATGTGGAAAAGCAGCCTTAGTGGGTCAAAGCTGCAGCAACACCTAAAGCGCCACAGTACTGGAAAAACTTTTTGAAAGATTTTTTTAATATATAGTTTAGTTGTATAGACTCCAGTGGATGAACCCTTCTGCCTCTGGATGGTAGGGCTTGGTAGGGATAGTGTTAATGACTCGACCCTGAAGTCTTCCCATCAAATTTTGGGTTATGATTTTACCTCACAGGACTCACTGCGCTGACCTTGGCTGCTTTGGGTGAAGAGGAGGATGGCAGCCCTGCAGCAGCTTCAGTTCGGACAGAGTTGTTTTAAGCCCCAGACAGTCAAAGAGTCTTCATTCTGGCTTGATTTGATGCTCATTGCTCATGGAGGTTGTTTCCCACATTGCAAGAATTCACTTTGCATTGAAAACTGCATTATGCTTCATCTCTGTCTTCAGCTTTGAACCTCCTCACATGTTCATCTATAGCCACAAGCAGCTGACCACCAGGAATCTTCCTCATGTTTAGTACCTGTTGGTTTTTTCAATAACTTTCAGTCTGTACATGTGTGTGTGTGTGTCATCGATTTAATAACCATGAACTGACCCTCAAGACTTAATTGCAGACTCAATCATTCCAAAAGTTATTGATTTTCTGGTTTTGAATAATGCCATCTGGGTATTTAATAGACCCAGGTATTGATCCTCATCCATAATTAAATAAGAGCCGTGAAGTTGTTGTGCAGTTTAAAATCTGAAGTGATTTCAATAATTGATGACTTTTTAAGTATTAAAACAGTCATTGTGGTCTCTGTGCCAGGTTTTCTTGTACTTGTAACAACTTTGCAACTTGGAAAAATGGGTATTATCATGGTGCTCCTACTTAAAACCCTGTAGTTGTTTCCTTTGTCTCCTTGCACCAACTTTGAAGTCTCTGTGAACTACGTCACTGATCAGAAATGTTCACCAGTCTCTGAACACATTCCTGGATCTGTAGATGATTAAAAAAACAAAAAAAAAGTTTCCTTCATTAGTTTAAGATTTCTGTTTTTTGATCAAGCTTCTGAGAAAAAGCAAAGAGAGTAGAGTGTGTGTGTGTGTTTGTGTGTGTTTGTGTGTGTGTGTGGTGGGGTCAGGGCAGACGGCTGTTAGTGTAATGCTTTTGTTTCATGCTTCGTGACAGGACTGGTAACACGGCGCTCGGCCCCATGAATTTCCTGATAAAGCTCAGACTGACAGTTTAACGTGATCTCTAACCTCAGCTTTGTCGTCTGGAGAAAGAGAATTTGTCCTTTTTTCCCCTCCTGCTTCACTTGAATAATACATGATTTCATTTGGGGGCTCTGCATTCCTCACATTCCTCTTGTGTCCGTCCTGCAGCTCCTGCTCCTCGGTGTTTATGTTGTCTACTGGAGGGACGGACGGACGGACGGGGCTGCAGCTACTTCACGCTCACACAAAACCCTCTCTGCTGCAGAATATCTGACTGATAAATATATGTTTAAGTTTAATTAGCTCCTGGCTGACAGAGGCAGGCGGTCTGCAGATGAAATGTTTAACATGCTGAGTTTAGTGCCCCCCAGCCAGCAGCAGAGCACTCAGGGGAGAGTTTGGAATCAACAAACAGACCGAGCATCCTACAAACAGATTAGCGCTCTGAAGAGGAGGCTGTTTGTGGGTTTGTGTTTGTCTGACTGTCAGGAGTCTGCAGCCCGAGGGCCAAACAACAGAAATGAAAATGTCTTCTTTAGGGGAGCAAATCTGGATCTGATGAGTTCTGAAATGGAGCAGAAAACTGAGCTGAAAGGAAGAACTTTACCCGAGTTAATTGTTGGAAAACTGCAGTTTTGGTCTTTCATAACCTACTGAGCTCTCATTATTTAACAGTGCAGATTAAGTCATTCTTTAAAACTGATTTTGGTACATAATCCACACAGTGATTTATGATTTTGGCTTTTTGGCTGCAGCTTTGCAGGTGAGGATTTTGTTGTTACATGAACTCAAGAGCTACAACAAAACTTTGACAGATGTGGGCCATCTCAGCTCAGACTGCGGCTGCATCAGATTTTTCTCTTTCAGACAGCCTTTTCAGACTTTTATTCAATGCTTTTGCACTTTGGCGGGCAGCAGTGTGAGCAGGCGGACTGGACAAACACGCAGGAGAGACTCGACACAAAAGACCACCACAAAACCACAAAGATAAATGCGGACAAAAGATGAAATCTGTCCTTCAACCTTTTTTCATTTTAGAAAAGTGACAAATCAACCCGTCTGCTGTTTCTCCAGGTCTTTTGAACCAGTCACCTAAATGTCGGACCAATCAGAGAGGAGCTCTGTAATCAGTGTCACTCTGACTCAGGTGGAATCAATCAACAGCTTATGCTCAGCTGTGTTTTGTCCCTCAAATTCACATCCGTGTAGTGGTAAATCCTGAAGCCTATTGGAAATGCTTCTTTCTTTACGTGAAATGTTTTAGCAGCAGATGTTACTCTTTGCTTTGTCAGTGAAATTTAGCCAAACCTAAGATCACTTGTAGTCCATGATCCTCTCTTCACAGCTAGAGGAACCTGTCATCGTTTCTGCTCTTTTCTTTTCTTCCCCGTTTGTCTGGATGTTTTATGATTTTGGAGAAGTTGACAGAGTTGTTTTAGCTTCTAGTAAATTAAACTTCTTGATTGAATGAGTGAGCGAAGCTGAGCTCAGATTGCTGCCGCTAAGGTAGGGCTGGGCGATATGGCCTCAAATCAATATCACGATATATTGAGCAGTTCACCTCGGTAACGATAAATGGATGATAACTGCTCCGAAAGCTGCTCACCCCCTCTCACATTAACTTCGTCTACTTCAGCCGCCGCTCCAGCTGATGCAGGGTTATATAAAACGCAGCTTAATTAGTTTTGGTTTTCAGGCAGGTCTGACAAAGCACAAGGTCTGGGATGAAGTTCCCACCCCCCTGAGTAACTAAATAGTTTGCAAAGAACAGCATGCTGACGCTGTTGACTAAGACTTTAAAAAATAGTAGCACTGTATTCATTAAACTTACCAAGTTGGCTGCTCCTGAATGTAAAACGTCAACAAATCAGTGGATTTCATCATCTATTAGGGCTGGGCAATATGACCTTTAAATCAATATCACGATATATTGAGCAGTTCACCTGGATATGATGAATGGACGATAACTACTCTGCAAGCTGCTCACCCTCTCCCACATTAACTTTGTCTACTTCAGCCGCCGCTACAACTCTTTAACCGTCCTCTCACCTGTCTTTCCCTCTTTGTTACAAACTCAATGGGTTGGAGTCACGTCTCTGTCATAGGACAGCCTCTTAAAGGGACATGTGACCATAGCCTACCTACACACATCCAAAACCGATTTTTATTGATTTATTTATTCGACGCCAAATGTACCGATATGGGCAAAATGACATCAAATATGTCATGTTAATATGTCAATTTTCAGTTTATCGCCCAGCCCTACACTAAGGACTTTGTAAAGTAAAGATGTCATCAGTAAAACAGGAGCTTTGTTGCAGAGAGTAAGACCCCAGTTCTGTGGGTCTTTGAGACAGTTTGTGTCCCCCACAGCTCTCTCTGCCCGTGAACGGGACATCTGCTTTTCTCTCATTATCTCATGAATTCACACTCGAGCTGATTCAGACTCTGTGAGCTCACCGAGGCAACGCTCATCAGCTGTTCAGGCCTCGCTCAGAGGAGGAAAAACAGACGACTCGGCAGGTTTGAGGCTCTAAATGAGGGAATCAGATCACTTTAACTCCTCAGTCTGTTCCCATGAAGTTACAGAAGGTATCCGGTTTATCATTCTGTGACTGTTTCATTGACGCTGTGATCATTAAGTCTTTGCAGCATAATCAAAAACTTTCTTATTACAACGTTTAAACTTCAGGAGTTTGATCCACCAATTATAAATGATGCTCAGTGTGCAGTCGCTACATCGCTCTCAGTGTGAAATGATGTCCGTCTGTCTCTGCAGCATCTCCCAGAGCTGCATTAAGATGAGAACAATGTGTCGAAGGCGGTGCTTTGAAGGAAATGTTGGCGGCGGGAGGAGTCAGCAGAGATCGGCCTCTCATCACAAAGGCATTTCCTCCTTAGCCACTTCCTGTTCAGGAGCGTTGGTCCTTAAACTCCTGCAGAGGCTTCAACACGGAGCGGTCTGTGGTCAGCAGGAGGCTTTTATTGCAGCGGGGTGACTCCGACCTTGTGAAGTGACAGGGTTTATGAATGCTCCTCCTCTGCCGTCTGTTTCCTGTGTGGATCCTCTGAATATTTACAGACTGTTAATGTATGACAGTATAAACTCCAGTGATGATTCAGCAGGAGGAGGAGAGCGCTGTTTGAGGACATGAACCACGACCAAACATAATCAAACATAAGCCCTTCTTCTGCAAATTCTGCAAATTCTCCAGAACTATTTATATTTGCTGATGCAGTGAATATATATATATATATTTTTTAAACGGTTCAAGACTGAGGCAGAGGAAAGAAAATTAACAGGTTGAAATATTTAATCAGAAATGTGAAAGAGTAAACCACATGTTTGTTATCATGTCGCTCCACCTTCCTCTGTTTGCATCCAGCTTGTCAGCTTTTGCATGTTGAAGACACAGACCAAGAAAGCAGCTTTTTATTTACTTTCCAGCCAGAGAGTCTGATTTGTTTTTTGCTGTTAGACAGAATTAGTAAGAATGATTCTAAATTGAATCATTTTTTGAAGATTTTTGGACAGTTCAGCTGATTATCATTTGCCATCCAACAGTCAAATGTGAAATTGTTAAATTAAACATCTTCAGCCGTCCTACTCTTCCTCCTTCCTCTGCTAAGCAGAGGAAGCACTGATTCTGCTCTGCTCTGGACCCCAGTAGCGCAGACCCCAATCGATATCTTTAAACGTAGCAGAATCCCCGCTACAGCTGCGATGTTTATTTATTTTCAATCTCTCCACCTTATTGCGATATAAAAGAACGATGACTCACGCTTGTTTACCGTGCTGCTGTGTTGTTTCCGCCGACAGCGACACACAGAGAGGTGAGTTTTTCAGGGCAGGGGAGTGAATCTTCCTTCAGGACTTGGCAAATGAATGACATGTGTCACCCAGTGAATGATGCTGTGACTTCAGCAGCAGGGGAGGGGAGGGGCTTGTTCAATGAACGAACTCGCAGCTGTGTCACTCACTCGTGTACTGCACCGGCAGGACGGGGCTCTGAAGCACTGACTGATTCAGTGAACGAATCTTTTGAACGAATCCTTTTAATGAACAGATTGTAAAGATTCAGTACAGTCAACAGAACTGTTCTTCCCATCACTAGACCCCAGCGGTCTTTGCTGATGCTCTGCCTGCCTCAATTCTAGCTTTCCCTTTATGTGCTGTACCTAAAATGGTGTGATACTTGATCATGACTTAGACAGAAAAATAGGATGATTGGTCAATTTTAGGGGAAAAGGCAATAAATGCTGAAACTAACTTGACAATAAAATATGCACAGCTCAGTTGGACTAGCACCTTGTTTTCAAACTACCTTACAACTTCTCAGAGAGACTAATATTTGGTAAATAGTTATCGTTCAGACACTTATCTTTCACTCTGGATGAATCACTTTCCTCAGTTATTATCAGCTTATCTGACGTTCAGAAAGCCTCAGTTTGAGCTCTGAATCTAGAGGTTTCTATCTGAGGCTGCAGTTCCAGCAGAGAGGTGATCCCCTCTGACGTAGTAGCTGATCAGAGATGTTTTGTATTTTGTAAATCAGTGATAAAAATATCTGGCGTGCACATGCTCATGCGCACCCACAAACAGGAAGTGACTGTCAGCATTAAGGGATCAGGATGGATGACAGCTTCATCGCTGTCCTCCTCTGCAGGGACGCTGAATGAAGACTGTTCTTTATTTTAAGCACGTACACCGCTCTGAGATGAAGTGTACTAATCGGCTTACCGTGTCCCAGTGGGGTCAAGGCTCTTCCGCCACCCACGACCACAACCATGACCACATCAGGACCTGGACAGGAAATGAGAGAGGAGAGTTAGAGGAGGGCAGACATGATTGGGATTTAATATTCATAGCTTTGGTTTATGTGAAGGGAGTCCCATCAATCTGACGCTGCACTTTACACAACACATCCTCTTCGTCCTCCTCTTCATCCTGCAGACGGTCTGAGGGTGTGAGGGTCGGCTGACGGAGGATGTGCGGTTGTAAACGTCTCAGCAGAAAGAAGCACAAACAAAAGAAATGAGTAAATGTTCTCCTCTCAGGCTGCAGACTCTTCGTCTGCAGCGGAGTTTATTAGAAAGTCTGGAAGTCTCTTCAGTTTTCAATTATTTAAGGTTTTGTCTCTCCTCTCTCTCTCTCACACACAGCTGCAAAACTTTTTATTTGTTTGGAGGGTTTGGAGTCAAAGAGAAGTCAGTCTGTACTAAAGAATCAAGGTAGAGCCGTAGTCTTACATGGACTGGTGTATTCTGGTTTCAGAATTGACTATCCTCATTTTGTGTTTGTACATTTTAACATCATATCCTGATATTTTGGGATGTTTACACCAACCTTACCCAAATTTCTGCACAGGTACAGCCTCAGACAGATGATGCATCAGCAAAACAACATAGCGGTAGCGACGACAGCACCTTACTTCTGGTAGAGAGACTGAGTTTTGCGCTGTTGCATCTCTTTATTCGATGAAAAACCAGGTTTCCATGTGTGCATGGAAAAACCATGTCCTCGTTGGGATCCAAATCAGGACTAATGCTGCGTTCGAGTTACCTTGTAATTCAGATGTTAAAGCTGAAAATGACATCACATCTGAGTCTGCAGCGTTTCAGTTACCAAGTCAGAAGAAAAGCAAAATCGGAGGCCTGAAACAAGATTGCTTCATCTACGAAAGTTATTTCCACGCTTGAGTTATATTTGGACAAGGCAAGTAGATGTAGCCAACTTGTTTCCACTTCCGATTTGCTTTTTTCCGACTCGGTAACTGAAACGCTGGGAACTCGGATGTGACGTCATTTTCAGCTCGGACTTATGACTTCTGAGGTAACTCGAACGCAGCAAAAGACCAGAGCCGTTTGGTAGATTTACTTTTAAAGTTTTAATCATCCAAACAGGACTTTAGAGTTACTCCAGTGAGCTTAGTGCAAATTTACCCGCTATGAAACTGTCATGGGAAAATAACTGGAGCAATAAAATGATCAATAATTGATCTAGTTTGTCCAGAGAGTGTCGTTTAAACAGTATCACAGACTTCTCTTCTTAATAATCACGAACAGGAAAACATCGTTCGGACCAGACTGCAGCTCTGCAAGTTAAATCTCATATAAGAGGAGAAAAGCCTGATGGGATTTTCTTTTTCCAAACATCCTCCTGAAGCCAAAAGACCAACAGGAGCTATAAAGCATGAAATCAGCTGTGGGATCTTGTTTCTGTTGTTGAGGAAAGTACCCACATTATAGCCGGCTCTCTGAACTTTCTGCGTGCTGATTGGTCCGTTAATTCTCCCTGTGATGAAAGTAAACAGTTGTGGAGTGATATTAAAGTTCCCGGGGGAGAGATAGTGACAGTCTGAGGCTCATAACCACCTTTCACAGAGACTCTCAACTCCAACCTGCTCTCTCACTCACACTCTGATGTGTTCTCAGATTTACATGCTGCGCCCCCACCCACCATTGTTCTGTGGTGGGAGGGAAACAGTGAACTGCGGTTTGTATATCAGCTGCTATAGACCACCCAGAGTTTACATCTGACCCGACCTCCTCCCCTCCTCTCTCCCACACATCCCCTGACTCCCTCCTCCTCAAAGAGATGAGAACCAGACGTTGGACAAGAACAGAGAGGACAGTTTGCAAACATAAGGAGGAATCATAAAGGTTTCACCAACATGGATTTGTAAATTGTTGTTGGTTTTATATTTGGATAAATTTAATCATTAGAGTAGGGCTGGACGATATGGCCTCAAATCAATATCAGATATATTGAGCAGTTCACTTCGATAATGACGAATGGACCATAACTACTCCACAAGCTGCTCAACCCCTTCCCACATTAGCCGCTACAACTTTTGAACCGTCCTCCGTCTCCTCACCTGGCTTTTCCTCTTACTTACGGACTGGATGGGGTGGAGTCACATCTCCAACGTAGGACAGCATCTGAAAGACACATGAGACCATCGCCTACCTACACACAGGGCTGTCGGCTGGCCGGTCGCACTCGCCAAATTCGACTAAAATACTCCCCTGGCGACTTAATTTTGGAAGGCTACATGCCATGGAGGGGGTAGATGTTCGTCCAGATACACATGCAATAAATATGCACGATGTGTCACAAAGCGTAGCTATAACATTATGAGTAACGACGGTAGCTAATGGTAGTGGCTACTGATTTGTTGTGTATCACAATGAAGTGGGGCTCTGAGCGGAACTATTTTCTAGGTTAAGATGTTTCTGTGTGACTCAACAAATCTGCGTAGGTTACCAACGCCACGTGCAGTTGGAGTCAAGATGTGGCTTGGGACGGATGAAAAAGACTGAGAAGAAGGGGGAAACGTCGGCGAAAAAAGTGAGGAACTTCCAGGAGAAGTGGAAGATTCAAAGAGAATCCTAGCTGCAGTATAAGGACGCCGCGGGTACAATGTTTTTTAATATCTGCAGATTTAGTGGGAGTGGTCTTACGTGCGGGCGGCCTTTTCGCTTGTTCCTGCACACCATGATGAGAGACGCCGTGTAATAGTGAAAACAGGTCATACCTGCCAACACTCCTGTTTTTCTGAGGACTCTCCCGTATTTCAGACCTATCTCCCGCCCACCTCCTGTATTGTCATTTCTCCCGGGAGTCTCCCGTAGTTTGATGGTCCACGTTCAATCATGAATCGGATCACGATATTTGTCCAAAGTTGCCAGGTTTCCAGACAACTGAAGATTGTCCTATGTTTCTGCTGAGCCTCACAGATACTGGGTTGATACTTTTACTTCAAAATTTGAGATGATTCTGGTCGGTTTAAGCTGTAAACTATATTTGAGTAGTGTTTGCTGCGAAATGAACACTTCAATGAAAGGGAAACAATCGTGAGATATGATATTTACGTTAATAGTCTCGCACTGTCTCAGAGTGATGCGTTCAGGGCAGCCTCAGATAAAACAGTGCTGTATTTCACGCACAGATGTTCAGAGAGCCTCATGGGAGAGCATGTAAAACATATGAGGTCTTTAACACCAATATTAGTGAACTAAACAAGTTCAAGGCATATAGTAGCTGTAACAATATGGGCAAAATGACGTCAGTTATTGTCGTAAATTTTGTTATCTGTAAATTTTCGGTTTATCACCCAGCTCTACATTAGGGTCAGAAAAACAAACAGGAAATCACAAGAGACAACTGCACAGAAAGGTCAGATACATCCTGGATATGAACATGAACTGATAGTTAAATGAAATGAACAAAAAACAGGACACCATAAAATCATGAAATAATAAAACCCTGTAGGGCTGCAGCTATCGATTATTTTAGTAATCGAGTACTCTATCGATTAATCTGTCGATTAATCGAGTAATCGGATAAGAAATGTTTTGCTCTCACTGTAATACTTTGCATTGAATCACGTTTGCCTCAGAGCGGACTTAATGCATGGACCGGGTGTTTTCTTTTAAGGTGCTGCAGCATTGACGACATGCTGTTGTGAAACGCCAACTCCGCCTTACAGTGAACACACTGCACGGCGTTTTCTTTCCTTTTCAGTGTGTAATGGTCCCACACTTTAGACACTTTCTGCCGTTTCCTCTGCGTGTCATCTCTTTCTTCCTCTCTCTGTCTGTCCTCGTTTCCCTCCATGATTGAACCAAACGCGCCATAGACATAATAAAAGATAGACCCCGCATCGGCCGCTACCACGAATGGGCGCTGTCGAGAAATGCGGCCGCCATCTTGGTCCGGTCATCCGCCTCACTCTGCACCGCTGTTTAACCGGCGGAATGAAGTCTGAGCGCATTAATGAATCATAGTTCGCTCAATACTACGTAATTTTCTTCTCTGCAAACGCCATTCAAAGAGGCGTTTTCAAATACTCAGAATGAATAAAATGATATTTTAGAGCATGGCACTAGTGGCTGTATTATAGTATAACAATTAATCAAGGATATATTTAGGTTTAGAGCTAGGTTCCTGCTATGTCTCAATAATTATTAATAACTGGCGGTATTAATAGGCCAATTCAATATATATTGATTTGATTATAATTTTTTATATAGTTTAATTTTATTTATCCATTTGTAGACACACACAAATAATGTCATATAGAAGCACTATTTTAATAACTGGAAAATACACACAAATATATAGCCTACATATCAAAAAGATTTAAACACAAGAACAGCATGACAGGACAGCATCTAAACTACATATCAATTTGCTTGTTGGCTACACAGCACAGAGGAATCACTTGCTGCGAATTTCTCCCTCTAACAGCAATCTCCCACTTCTTCCTCAAGTTTTTGTCCTTAGGAAATCTTCAAAATGAAACAGGAGATCACCACAAAGAAATCTTTAATAAAACAGATAATAAAACAGAGCTCACTTTCTTCCTTTTTCTTTCTATTTTATTTCTTAACATTTCTTAGAACCTCTCTCAAACAAAAGTTTTTCAATCTAATGCAGATCTGTTGATAATCGACCAAAGTTGCTATTATTGTGAATAAGCTAGCTGTTCGCAAATGCTGTTTCCTTTTTGGAGTTGACCGATAGTCTTCCTCTTTGGCCTACAAATGACTCTACAGTCAAGTGTAATGTTTAAAAAACGTTTAATCATAACTGTGAAAAGTTATTTCTTGAGCCCTGTTCTCTGCTGTCCGCCTGTTGGCACAGGAATACGCCGCACAGTGCTCCGGCATCGCTGAATGAATGAATATGATTGACCGGAGCGTATGGGAAGCTTGACCTGACCAAGATGGCGGCCGCATTTCTCGCTGCGCAGCACCCCCAGCGGGGTCTACCCTTTTATTATGTCTATGAAACCATAGACATAATAAAAGGGTAGACCCGTAGTATTGAGCGAACTATGATTCATTTAATGCGCTCAGACTTCATTCCGCCGGTTAAACAGCGGTGCAGAGTGAGGCGGATGACCGGACCAAGATGGCGGCCGCATTTCTCGACAGCGCCCATTCGTGGTAGCGGCCGATGCGGGGTCTATCTTTTATTATGTCTGTGTATGAAACGCGCGGCAGCGGAAGGAGCGGAAAGAGCACGCTGCTGCGCAACAGAAATAACCGTCCGTGTCAAACACCGTGCGCTGCACATGGTTCCGGATTTAAACGATTCCTCGAGGCATATAATTTGCCTCGAGGAATTTTATTAATCGAGTTACTCGAGTTACTCGAGTAATCGTTTCAGCCCTAAAACCCTGTCTTCGGTTATTAGAAATTCAGTTCCTGCAAAGTTGAGGATGTTTGCAGCAGACAGAGAGAAGTTCTGATTTCTCTTTTTCAGCTGAAAACAAACACATAAACCAGAACACAGAGCTGAGCTGCTGTGTGCTTCAGCTTCATTATTCTCTCTGAGAGGAGGAAACCCTGTGAATGTTTTATAAGAAGACAGAAACAACAGAACAGACTGTCAACAAATTCAAACACAGACTGACGCCTTTAGATGTTTCAACAAACTGGTTCACTGAAAGAAACCAAAGACTGAGAAGAACTGTATTATTAAGACTAAAACTGACTGATGTGACTGGGAATGTAATTGTTACCTGATCGAAATGACTGCAGCATATGTTGCTCTAAACCTGCATATATATTGTTCAGTATTAATGGATTCTTCACAGATGTGGAAGCTACCCACGCCAAGGACACTCCTGATCCCCATACAATCAGGGATGCTGGCTTTGAGCTGTGAGCTGATAACAAGCTGAGTAGTCCCTCTACTCTGAGGAGAGGAGGATGCAGCATTCATGATGTCCAAAGAGACTATTCAATTTGGACAGTGTTCCTCTCAGTCCACATTAAACAGGCTCAGGTCCAAATCTGGTGTCTCTGGATCATGTTTCTTTCTGGTTTCCTCTTTGCATGATTCAGTTTTAACCTCATTTGTAGATGCAGTGATGAACTCTATTCACAGACAATGGTTTTTGGTATGGGTGTACAGATACAACTTTTTGACTTCTGATACGGTACCGATATTGTAGCCTTCAATATTGGCCGATACCGATATTGGCACAAAATTGTACCACAAGGCCAACATCACTCCTACTCCTTGCTACTTTGTTAGCACATTAGTACACACTGTTGTTGTGATTTTGTGGGCTCTGCATGCTGGATTCGGGTGCTGCTAGATAGAGGTGTCTAGAGCGGAGTCTGGAATGGACTGCTTGTATCAGAGTGCTGATTTTAGAGATTTTAGATGCAGGCCGATATCATCCGATATTTGTTTTTTGCTGATATCGGACCGATATCAATATCATACTGGGACACCCCTGGTTTTTGGCATTGATTTTAAGCCTGTGCAGTGATTTCCACTACAGAGTCCTGTCTGTTGTTAATGCAGTGCTGCCTAAGGGCCTGAAGATCAGGATCATCCAGTCTTGGTTTTGGTCCTTGTCCCTTTTAGTACAAGTACAAGATTTCTCCTGACTCTCAGAAACTTTTAATAATATTATGTACTAGAGATTATAGGGCTGGGCGATAAACCGGAAATTAACCGATTCCGAAATTTACATCGATAACCGACGTTATTTTGCCCAAATCGGTAAAGTTGGTTTAGCATGTGTGTATGTAGGCTATAGTCTCATGTCCCTATAAGACGTTAAGAGAAATCAGAACTTCTCTCTGTCTGCTGCAAACATCCTCAACTTTGCAGGAACTGAATTTCTAATAACCGAAGACAGGGTTTTATTATTTCATGATTTTATGGTGTCCTGTTTTTTGTTCATTTCATTTAACTATCAGTTCATGTTCATATCCAGGATGTATCTGACCTTTCTGTGCAGTTGTCTCTTGTGATTTCCTGTTTGTTTCTCTGACTCTAATGTAGGGCTGGGCGATAACCGAAAATGTACCGATACTGAAATTTACAACAATAACCAATGTCATTTTTCATATCGGTATATTTGGTGTCAAAAAAATTGATAATTAAAAGTTGGTTTTGGATGTCTGTAGTGATGTGACTCCACCCCATCCAGTCCATATCAAAGAGGGAAAGACAGGTGAGGAGATGGAGGACGGTTCAAAGGTTGGAGCGGCTGGAGCGGCGGCTGAAGTAGACAAAGTTAATATGGAAGGGGGTGAGCAGCTTGTAGAGTAGTTATAGTCCATTTATCGTTATTGAGGTGAACTGCTCAATATATATCTTGATATTGATTTGAGGCTGTATCGCCCAGCCCTAGTAGATGGTGATATCCACTCATTCACTGACGTTTCACTCTCAGGAGCTGCCAACTTGTTGAGTTTAATGGACACAGTGCGACTATTTTTAAAGTCTTAGTCAACAGCATCAGCATGCTGTCTTTGCAAACTATTCAGTTACTCAGGGGGTGGGAACTTCAGCCCAGACCTTGTGCTTTGTCAGACCTGGCTGAAAACCAAAACTAATTGAGCTGTGTTTTATTTAACCCTGCATCCTTCCACCGAGTCCTGAGTATCAGATCAGTAGTTTTTCCATGCAGACAGAGTGCTGAGCCGGTTCTGTTTTGCTGATGTACTTCAGTCTGGTGCTGATCAGCATTCACAGACGGTGCAGCTGAGGCTGATGGGAAGGTTTTAATAATTGCTGGTATTCGAGCATAAACCAGATTATTGGACAGATTGACCCAAGGAAGGAGTCTGGATGTAAGTATAATTCATCCTGAGGGTAGGCTGGGTGTCTGCTGGTGGACTTGTAATGATGATATATTAACCATGGAGGTATTTCAGCTAATATTGAGTGCCCATAGAAAATGTTTTTCCTACGTGAAATATTCTCAGGTTGATGCATTTAAAATGATGAAAACTTTGCTGAAAGAGAAAACAATTTGATTTGAATTGATGGGAAATGATCAGAGTTTATTGATACTGACTCCATCTTTGTTTTGCAAGTCATGCAGGAATAAATGAACAGAATAAATCCCTTAATTCCCTTTCATTTATTAACTCTGAATAAACATCTTTTAAGAGACTTTTGTAGCTTTTATGAGGATTTAATTGATGGAAAACTGCACACCTCTTCTGGACAGAGTTAGGACTGAAGTTCAAAGTGTAAATTACTAAATGAAGAGAAGTAGTGTCTCCTAGTTAAAGGTCTCCTGCAGTAGAAGTGTGCCAGTTAAACTCTTCCTCGTCTTCCTCTTCCTCTCTCTGCAGAGACTCGTCCTCAGGCTGACACTGTTATGAATTATGGATTAATGTAAAGAGCTGAGTGTGTCTCAAACCCTGCTGTTCCACTGACCCACATCTGCTGTTTGGAGATCCTCAGCCTCTTCTTTTTATACTGTACTATCACTCTGGGTTATATCATGGATATTTACATTAGTTTCGAGCAGAGAGTCGGAGGGGCTGCTGAAAAAGAAGAAGCACTGACTTGTTACCTCCAAACTTTTAAGGATCGCATAAAAAAGTCTGGCAGAGAAGAAAATCCATTGTTGAACGGAGCTATATTTGTATAACATCAACTGAACTGCATGTAAACATACTGACTTGTGCTGCTGGTATGCAGATACAGTCTGGGAAACCTCTCTGCTTCCTATTCAGAGATGAGCTGTTTTAAACTGTTTGGATAAATTTCCTGCTGCATCAACAGACATTATTGTATATCATTGTTTTTTAACTGGCCTTGCAAGCTCAGACTTTGGCTGCTGATGATTGTTTTTCAATGCAATTAATAAGCCTGGCTAATGGGCTGATGAATCAGTGTACCTCTAAGTCAAAAGATTTTAGCTTTAAAACTGTCAATGTGGAGAGAGCTGGTTTGGCTGAGAGAGTAAATTGCATCTCCTATGTGTGGAGACTTTAGTTCAATTCTGGTTCAATTCTAGCCTGAAGCCCTCTGCTGTATGCTATTCACCACTGTGTCCCTTCAGATTGTTTTCTCTGTCCACTATCATTTTAATAAAGGCATAAAAATAGTGATACTGCCTTGTTTTCATGTTTGCATTGATATGATATGATATGTCTAAAAATGCATCTTTCCAGTGTTTTTGGTCACTGGAAGCAAATGTTAGAAAAAGAGGCTAAACTGACATTGGCAACAAAGTTAATCTGTTTTTATGGACTTGAAACTGGACTTAAAAACTCCTAAAAGGCTGAGAGCTCAACTCAAAAGAATTTAATCTCTTATTTATTGGAGTACATCCAGTTTATTCAGCAGTTTACGACTAAATTCATGTTGGTTTATGACCACTGAGAGCCTAAAAACACACTTGGTAAAAACTCTAAATCAGTATCAACAAACATGAAATAGAGGCTGGAGATTCAGGCAACTCTTCACTTGTGATTTTTCTCAGAATAAACAAATACAGATAAATTCAGTTTTTCCTGTTCCAGTGAAACATTTTAACAACTCAGTATTTCTGTGTCTTTCAGAGGTCATGGGAGGCTTTTGACATCCGACTTGCCTGCTGCCGAAGGGATCCAGAAAAACTCGTCTAGAGACGCCGCTTGGTGCAAAGTGACGGTCCAGATATGGCCGCTCATCGTATCAGAACCACGGCCACCAACAACACTTCCCTCCCACGCTGCAAGTCTGAGGGGACGCTGATCGACCTCAGCGAAGGAGTGTCAGAAGCCAGTCTGACGGATGTTAAAGGTCAGAGACTGAATCTATAAAAAACATTTACACTTGGAGTTTTATCAGAGCTTAAACTTGAATTCCTGTTTATTCCTATATGTTGTTGCATGCATGGAAGCTGACGCACAGTTTCTGAGCGGTAAGGTTAAAGGTAAACATTTACAGTTGCGTGCTGACAGGTGGACAAACAGACAAAAAAACAGACTGAAAGAACAGGCAGTTCCACGAAATGAAGATACAGAAACTTGCTACTTGTTGTTGTTCAGGTGGTTTGTTTATTCTTTCTCTTCACCTCTATCATCCCTCCCCTCCTGACTCTGTTTTCTTTTGCAGTGCCTTCCCCCAGTGCCTTACGCCTGGACGCTACCGCCTCCTTCGGTGCCGCCAGAGAAGTCGTCGCCATCAAGGACTACTGCCCATCCAGTTTCACCACGCTAAAGTTCTCAAAAGGGGACCGTCTCTATGTCCTGGACTCGTCAGGAGGGGAGTGGTGGTACGCCCACAACAACACAGAGATGGGTTACATCCCTGCGGCGTACGTTCAGCCCGTCAACTACAGAGACTCGTCTTTCAGCGACAGCGGGATGATCGATACTGTGGGAGACTGTAACGAGGAGGCGGCCAAAGAAATGGACCTTCTGGGAGAGTGGGCGGGGGTGATTCTGAAACCGACCACCTTCCAAAACGGGAATCCTTTTGGATCAACTCATACCTCGACTAATCCTTTCCTAAACGGAGGTCCTCAGAGTTCACTGGATCAGAACAGCAACGAGAAATCAGTGGACCTCCTTCTCTTCGACACGCTTACTCCATCAGTGCCAAACTCCACCAGCAGCACAGCTGATATCAACGGTTTTGGTGTTTTTCACTTGAACCCTCTGAGTCCTACAGGAAGTGTGGGACAGACGTTACGCAGGGACAACCCGTTCTTCAGAAGCAAACGGTCCTACAGTCTGTCCGAGCTGTCCATCCTGCAGGCTCAGTCTGACGCCCCTCAGGCCTCAAGTTTCTTCGGAGGCCTCAAAGCTCCAGCACCAGAGCAGTTCCAGAGCAGGGAGGACTTCAGGACGGCGTGGCTGACCCACCGTAAGCTAGCCAGGTCCTGTCACGACCTGGACTCGCTGGGTCAGAGCCCAGGCTGGGGTCAAACGCAGCCAGTGGAGACCAACATCGTCTGTCGGCTGGACAGCTCGGGAGGGGCCGTCCAGCTTCCAGACACCAACATCAGCGTCCACATCCCTGAGGGCCACGTGGCCCCTGGGGACACTCAGCAGATCTCTATCAAAGCTCTGCTGGATCCGCCGCTGGAGCTGAACAATGACCGCTGCACCACCGTCAGCCCGGTGGTGGAGATTAAACTCAGCAACATGGAGACCAAAACCACAGTTACCCTGGAGATGAAGGTGTCAGTGGTGGTGAAAATGGAGAGCAGGCAGACGACTGAAGTCCTGTGTGTGAGGAGTGATTGTAAAGAGGGACCTTACACACCTGTTCCTCAGGCGTACCTGTATGGAGACACAGTCCAGGTGTGCCTGGATAACCTGGAGCCGTGCATGTACATCTGTGTCGTGGCTCAATCTCAGTCCTTATCTCCTGAATCCACCGTTTGGGATAATGTGGTGAAAAAGATCACTTTAGGGGTTTATGGTCCCAAACACATCCACCCATCCTTTAAGACGGTCGTGGCTCTGTTTGGTCACGACTGTGCGCCTAAGACGTTACTTGTGAGCGAGATGGGCAAACAGGTGCAGTCCTCGCCATCGGTGGTGCTGCAGCTTTGGGGTAAACACCAGTTTGTCTTGTCAAGACCGCAGGACCTCCGCGTTGATGTTTACTCCAACATGGCCAACTACGAGGTGAAGTCCAGCGACCAGGCCAAGGTGGTCCGAGGCTTTCAGGTCAAACTTGGGAAAGTCAGCCGGCTCATCTACGTCATCTCCTCACGCAACTCTGAAGACGTTTCTGATTTCACTTTGAGAGTCCAGGTCAAAGACGACCAAGATTGTATCCTGGCTCAGTTTTGTGTCCAGACTCCGACACCGCCACCCAAAGCAGGACCAAAGACGTCAGTACAACGGCGCTTCCTCAAGAAGAAGGAAGTGGGCAAGATTGTCTTGTCTCCTCTCGCCATCGCCACCAAATACCCTGTTTTTCAGGACAGGAGGATAAACAACCTGAAGTTTGGAAAACTAATCAAAACTGTCATCAGGCAAACGAAGAACCAGTACCTGCTGGAGTACAAAAAAGGAGACTTTGTGGCTCTGCTGAGCGAGGAGAAGATCAAGCTGAAGGGCCAGCTGTGGACTAAAGAGTGGTACATTGGATATTATCAGGGCAGGATGGGATTTGTTCACGCAAAGAATGTTCTGGTGGTCGGAAAGGTTAAACCCATTTACTTCAACGGGCCTGACCTTACAACCTCTTTGTTACTGGAGCAGATACTGAAGCCCTGCAAGTTCCTCACGTACATCTACGCCTCAGTAAGAACGATACTGATGGAGAACATTGGAAACTGGCGTGCTTTCGCGGACGCCCTCGGATACGTGAACCTGCCGCTGACTCACTTCTGTCGGGCAGAGCTGGACAGCGAACCGGAGAGGGTGGCGTCCGTGCTGGAGAGGCTGAAGGAGGACTGCAATAACGCAGACAGCAAAGAGCGGAAGTCGTTCCAGAAAGAACTCCTGACGGTGAGTTACGGCTTTGGCTTCCTCCTCTGCTCGCCGCCGTGACATTGCACTTTATCTGCGCCCTTGTTTTGACAGAATGGATATCCTGTTTTGTATATCGAACTAAGATGCGTCTCCTGTCCTTCATGCGTCCCATTAAATGTCCATGTGTTTTGTGTTTGTTAGTCCTGGCCCGGGATTTGTCGCTCGGAGCATCTATCTCTCTTCCTCTTGTTATCTCTCCGTGGCTGCTTCAGGCGTCTGGCTTTAGAGGCGAGGTGTTGATTCTGCAGGGAGGCGAGTCGATAACTGCTGTGTAGGCACGGAGGTCTAATCGGACCCGAGGAGCTTTAGAGATCAGCAGAATACGTCGTCCTGTTGCTTACACAGTGTTTGGTGTGTGTCGTTCTTTGCTGTGTGTGTGTGCAATTTGCTGATCTTACAAACCGAATTGATCTCTCTGACTGCTCTGGTAATTTTCTATCTTTATGTACATATGAATCAAAGCCCTGAGGGAGGAAATCAACAGAATGAAACAAAGCCTCCCTCATGTATTAACATTAAAGAAAAACAGAGCAGGTGTTGTTAGGTTGAAAGATTAAGTTTACGCCTTCCTCAGTGAAAGGAAATGTTCTTTTATTGAAGAACTCTGTCGGGAAACTCCTCAGGCCAGGCCTTTGAAACTCTTGACTTGGCAAATCTTGACTTAGTTCTGATCAAATTTCAGCCTAAGAGCTTGAAGAGTAACTACTTTTTACCTCTCATGAATGTAATAATTCAGTAAAGACCACTTTCATTAAAGAGAAGTATTATTTGTTTGCAATACATCAAATTTGGCAGTATGGCTCTGCTCCGAGAGCTGTGTGTTAAGAGGAGGGCCAAAACCTGAGGCGGGGAGAGCACACCTCGCTTTTAATTTATGTTGGCTCCAATGTGATCATTCTTAATCAGTAAAATCATGGTATAACAGATATTTGGAACAAAATTATTGTGTTTTCAAGACAGTGTCGTTTTCCCTTTTTTTTCCACGAGGAAGACGTGACGTTGACGAGCTAAACAAGTCTTAGATGTGTAAAATGTGACTAGACGAATGTGTTTAAGTTGATGAGACGAGACTAGTCGAAAACGTTAGTGGTGGACGACGAACAGAGTTGCAAAATTCATGAGCATTTCGTCAGTCAAATGCTAAACATATATTCTGCAGTGTTGTTTCCGTTGACGTCATCGTCAATGAAAACAACAGGAAGCAAATATAAACTGGAGAGACCCAAACTATGTCTATATACCTGGCTGTGAACGCAGGAAAGCAATTTGATCAATTTCCAAGTCTTAAAAAGTATGATAAATGAAAAATTAAATATGGAAACATATTTATGTTAACAGACTATATTACCACAGTTATAAAATACTGTTTTGTAAAATAGAAAAGTAGGTATCTCCAAAAATAATTCTAAAAAGTAGGGTAAGGAAAAGTATGGAAATTCCAACTGTGTAGGAACCCTGTAAACGTGTTTATTCATTTCATTTTTGCATGGGTCTCTATGGGAGCTGACGTATTTCAGGAGACAGCCTCTAGTGGACACTCTGGGAATTACATTATTGAGGCTTTTAAATTGGCTTCATTTGTCAGGCCTGGTGATGTTTGTCTTTTTAATTCAGGATCTTAAAGATGTCGGGGACAGATTAGTGCATGGAGAGGTTTCCTTGCTAATTCTAGTCCTTTCCTGAGAGCTGTATCTGATGTTTATCTAATACTCTGCACAGCTGTATCAAAAGCCCTGGATGTACGTTGCTCTGTGTGTTTTCTGTGCTGTCCTCTCCCAGTTTATTCAGCTTTCTTTCCAAACCGTCTCTCTGTAGCCCTCGGCTGTGGATCTTCTGCCACAGAAGTTTCTGGATTCAGGGATTTCCATTGTTGTCGGCAGCAGCCTGAGCACGCCAAACCACACTGACAGCATTTGTCATTTCCAGTCTGTGTCATGTTCATGACCTCATGCTCCATAAAAGTCCGAGTTTCATTTTGATTTAACAGTCTGTCCCTGTTTGAACTTGATTTTTACACTTGGCGGCGAGCTTTCTGTCTGCATTTAAATCACCGCTCTCAGACTCCCTTTCTCTGTCAGCGTTTTTTCCTCCTCAGACTCTGTCAGAGGTCACGGACGTTGTTCGGCTAAAGTAACACCGAGCAGGAAGGCTGTAATTTAGGGCAGGTTGTAAACACTAGTTAGGCCCATTTTTAGACAGAGAAACTGCAGCATTGGAGAGGACATAATAAAAGGTGGTCAGTGGAAATATGCCCTCAGAGAGAGTCAGAGCTGCACGATTCATGTCTGAACACAGGTTTGTTTTTGTGTTTCTGCTCACAGGATTACACCTAAACTACCACTCACTGCACAAACAACTAAACCGAATTAGAAACCGACTCTGCAGCTCTGTTAAAGTGACACTAAAGTGACACTCCTAAGATGCTGGTTTTGAGGATTTATCCATGTGAAGCTGGGAAACCTGTCAGTTAAAATGTAAATCTCCTTTCTCCTGTTTTTTTCTAAAACAAAGACAATCGGTCTCTCTCCGTCTCTGTCATTTAAAGTGGACAGAGGTCTATTTATAGATGAAAAAGAGACAAATTAAAGCACAGCAGAGCCTCCTCCGCGCTCTGATGTCTGAATCCTTTCTGCTCGGTGGTGATTGTGGGAGAAAAGCTTCATCAGCAGAGCGGGATCACACAGACAGGCGAGAGTGCAAGACGTCTTTTATAGATTTTATTTTTATTTCCATCCTCTCTGTTTTTTTTATTGTCTCATTTTGTCTGCTCTTTTTTATGTCACAACAAAAATAGCTCAGAGAATACAGAGAAAAAGACCCAGTCATTCAATAGTGACCAGATCAGACTGGAAAAGGTCATGAAAACAGGAAAAAAGATTACAGAATCAGATTAGACCAGGTAACTTATCTCTTTTTATATCCTGGTTTATGATGTTGAAGACTTTGGAGAAGGATTGGGATAACTTTGACAAAAACAGCTCTTTGTATCTTATGTGGGGGAGTAAAGCCTGTTATATGCTTCAATGTTGGACCTCTATTGTTGCCATCACAGGCACTACAAACCTCTTTTTCTAACAATTATGGTGTACTGACTTTACCTAAACAAAAGTTTGTACAGATTTTAGAGGTTTAAATGTGAAAACACGGAAAGAATTGGCTTTAAAATAAGAAAATAACACCGTATTCACCGGCAGGCCACAGGGTTTGTTCGTGCCTCTCTCTTTCACTCTTCATGAAGTGTCTCTGAAATAACTCCCACATTCCTGAACGAGGCCAAATCTCCAGAGAGACTGATCTGAACTTCAGTCAATTATTCCAAAAGAAGCAGAGAGCCACACCCAGAGAGAGAGGGAGAAGGAGAAGGAGGAAGTAAAGGAGGAAAGAGGAAGATAATAGAGGCAGAGAAATCTAGATTAGCGTTAAAACACGGCAAAGAAAGACCCTAAAGTTTACACCGTCTCCTTCTACTCGAATGAATCATCTCCTGTGTGTCGGCGTCTCCTCTGGTTAAAAGTTTCATAGTGTTCTTCCTCTCCTCCTGATGTTTGACAGAATATTTCAGCACATGTACAGCTTGTGCCTTCACAGTGATTTCCTCCATGTCGGTGTTTGTAACAGTGGAGGCAGAGGGTGTAATCTGTCCTCCAGCCTCAGAGACTGTGGGACTGTCAGCTGACAGAGCAACAATGGCAGCCTGCAGGGTCAGAATTTATCAGCGTACCTGCAGGCAGGGATAACTGTCAGACGCTGTGCAGACATCATTTTCACCGTGCATCACAGCTTTGCGCAGCAAGTCGGGAAATAATCAGAAAGAGCCACTGTGGTTACAGCTTTCAATAACAAGGGCCTCTAAACTTTTAATTCAAAATGCAAATAAGGCCAGTATTTACATGCTTTACCCCGAGGACAGACTGACAGGCTGCTGACAGGTTTATTATCTGAGGTGTTTAAACTGTTCTAACTTTTAAATACTTGTTAAACTAAAAAGTTTAGACTTGTTTTTACATTTTAGATAACATTTATTTTGTGTCAGAGAAAGGGATGAGCAGGGATGGATTCATTTTAGATTGTGTTTTAGCCCAGACATGTGATGCTTGTTTTTATTACACAATATTGTTTCGTTTTTAAAGTCTTCACCTTTACTACCTAAAAACTTTTTTAGGCGGATCAAATATGCAAGCATATAGCGCCCACCAGATCCAATCTGCCGTCGCCATTGGAGGAGAAGCACTCGCAGGCTTACCGATATTCCTCACAAGACTGGATGAGATCTCACAAGATCCCGCATGTTTCCCCGGCATTGTATATAAAACACCCACATCCCAAAACCCTGGCATCTCCTGTTAAGAACAGTTCAACATATTGACTTTATTTTGAAAATTAACCGAATATTTTACTCTGTAGCCGCATACAATTTCCTCTGCTGCTCGTGCTGCGCTGCACTGAATTGATGCGCGGCATCTAGCAAAAAATGAAGGCTTGCATATCTGATCCGGCCGCCATGCCAGATCGGAGCACAGCCATTCCAGATCTTGCGGGTTTTAGCCGTTAGAGCATGGAACTGTGTAGGGCTCGGTGATAAACTGAAAATTTACAGATACTGAAATTTACATCGATGACAAACGTCATTTTGCCCATATCGCTATATTCGGTTTTGGATGTGTGTCGGTAAGCTATGGTCTCATGTCCATTTAAGACGCTGTCCTATGTCGGAGACGTGACTCTTCCCTATCCAGTCCATAACAAAGAGGGAAAGACAGATGAGGAGATAGAGGACGTTTCAAAAGTTGAAGTAAGCGAAGTTAATGTGGGAGGGATGTGGAATAGTTATCGTCCATTTATCGTCATCGAGGTGAACTGCTCAATATATCATGATATTGATTTGAGGCCATATCGCCCAGCCTTAGGTCTGTGTTTTAATGTTGTAGATCTTTTGTCTGTTTTTCCATCATAAACAGACTCCTCCTCGGTTCTTATATTTCACCAACAATCCACAGATCTGTGAGTTTTATTTCATGCCATCACTCCAGTTTACAGTCCTCCTCCTCTCTGCAGCTCTCAGGTCTCCCTCTCTCGGCTGGGAGTCGACATCATGGTTCATTGTAATTGCATGTTTCTGAAGACCTAATTAAGGTAAATGAGGCTCCGTGTTAATTTGCGTACGAAGCAGGAAAGCCTCATGATTAATTTGCATTAAAAAGTAATTAACATGTTAAGGTCTTGATCTTGTTGCGTGTTGACAGCCATGTCATGTCCTTCTCCGCCCGCGCACAGTGTCACTTCAGCAGATCAGAAGAGTTGACACCATCAGCAGTCACAGAGAGGACACAGTCTGTGCAGAATATTAGATTTAACTTAAGACTTCAAACTGAAGACAGATTCAGAGCAAACTCTGCTGTGCGACGTCTCTGTGAAGAAATTCAGGTCAGATGTTTTAAATGTTTAAAACCCACAGGATAAGAAACTTCAGCGTGAATGAAACAACCTGAATTATTCAAATCATTCATTGTCTGCAGAGCGGCTGAACGCTGACATTAAAACACAAATTCTGCTCGGTGTTAACACAATTCACCTGCAGCTCATATTAGATAACAGCAACATGTGCAGAGGGGGGCGGGGTCGGGGTCACAGAGGATTATGGGAAGTGGCGTGGACCTGCAGGCGCCTGCAGGTCCACGACTGGAGCTTCTGTTTGGTTTGAGAACAATGAGGCAGGAAACATCTGCAGGGCTGAGATCCAGCAGAGACAAACATCATCGTAGCCATCATCCAAAAATGACAACCGCGACACCACCTCCAAATAAACAAACAAACAAGAAGCAGTTCAGTGGCACATGTGGGTCACCTGGGAATTAATAGAAAAAGAAACAGGTGTAAAACCGGTCTGAGAGAGTCTGCTTTAGTCCACAGTAGATAGGAATAAAAATCTGACTCAGTACGTGTCAAAGAAGACTGGAAACTTGGTTAAAATTAAATCACTCACTCATGTGGAAGTTCTTCTGGAAAAAGTTTCATCCTCCTGCAGGTTTATACCAAGTTTGCATCATACTGGGGGTGGTTGATGCGGCAAATTTATTTTTTAATGCCAGGAACAAACAGTCCTCACTGCATCCCCATTTGTTCATGTTTGATTTTAAGTCTACTTCGATAAGACTTCAAGTGTGAGCTTAACAAGAGCACAAGAGTCCATTTCCTTCTCTTTGTTTCTGAGGTAGCACTCATTATGTAACCGTTGATTTCAATAACAAATGTCTGATACTTCCTGCACTTCCTTCTCCACTGAAAAGAGATAAAGACATGATCAAGTGTCAAATGACAAACAGCTCAGAGGCCCGAGGTATTTGAGTGTTATTTTCTTACAAACACAGTGAGACTGACTTTGTGTTTAACATGTTTGCAGAGCGCTGTTTTGACAGACGGGCTCCGCAGCCTTCCCACCATGAGTTTATCCAGCACTCGTCATGAAACACTGAGAGAGTAAACTTCTCAAATGTGTGTTTCATACCCAGCATGCCCAGCTTAATGATGCCGTGGCTGCTGCAGACGTGCTGTTTGTTTAGACTGTGCTCTGCATCAGAGCTCAGTCTGCATCAGTAAAGACGTCAGCATGCGTCTGTGTGAGAGTGTGGAGCTGAAATACAGCAGATACTTCAGTGACTCTGGATTTGCAGATTCTAAACACGTTCTGATTATTCATTATCTGTTATTGTCCTCTCGCATATAAATGAAAAGATCATTTACTCAGGCATTCAGTACCTTATAAAATCTGACACATAAAAGAAAACTCTGCTCGCCTATGTTTACAAGTCACCATGTGCAAGAAGCAAGAATTTAACAAGAGAATGTAACATGATATTAAATGGGGTGGGAGAAAAAAACGATACAGCATAATATTGTGATATTTTTTCTGGTGATATATCTTATCGTCTCATTTACCAAGTATCCATTTTACAGATTAATTGCTAATGTGAAGTCAAATCTATGATAATGGAAAAATAAAATCAACTGTTTGTCCAGTGAGGTTGGCATCATAGAACAGTAAAAACTTAATTCAACAAATATATATGTAAGGTTTGCAAGATGTGGTACATGAAAATAAAATATAGTGTAAATAAGACAAACATAAAGGAAAGACAAAGCTAAATTAGGCAAACGGTTGAAAAAAATATATAAATGACAATATATTGTATCGCAATACTCACTGTATCGCAAGATGTTCAAAATCGCAATAATATTGTATCATGGCCCAAGTATTGCAATAGTATCGTATTGTGGCCCAAGTATCATGATAACATTGTATTGTGACCCAAGTATCGTGATAATATCGTAACATGGTCCCAAGTCTCGCGATAATAACGTATCATAGCCCAAGTATCGCGATTATATCGTATCATAGCCCAAGTATCGTGATAATATCATATCGTGGGGCCACTAGTGATTCCTACCCCTAATGTTAAAGGTGCACAAAATGAAGAAATTACATTTTAATATTTAAATTGAGCCGGTGCAGAAATAAAGATCAAACCTGTGAACATATAAGATTATGATAAAGATTTTAACAAAAATAAATGTTTAATGCTTGCAAAAAGAAATAACTTTTAAGAGGGACATGTCAAATACAAAGTAAATAATGTATGAAGAAAGTGCATACTTGGCTGTATAAACAGAAAAGTATTGTGCAAAAAGTATTAGGTGGAATTGTGCAAAGACGAAAATAGATAAATAAATAACAGAATTATGTGCAATGGAAACGCCTAAAGGTCCAATGAGGAGTTTTTTTCACCATTATAAATAAGACTAAAATTCCTAAAATAGTCAGACTAATTTATGCATTTGACTCAAGCATAAAGAGGATAAGACAAACAAAGACTGCTTCATCCACAGGGGGCGCCAGAATCAACACAAACTTAAAGTTCCTCACTGGAGCTTTAAATTCAGATGCGCCACATTTAACACGATGTAATCTTGCAAACAAAGAGCACAAAATGTGATGACAGACAAGATGCAGGCTCTAGCTGTCTGTTCCACACGAATGACGACTGAAGCTAGCGTCAGTGTTTCTCTGACTGCATAGAGGAGGTCTGAACTCAAAGGGTTGATGTCTCCTCAGGTCTTTGATGTCTGACCTCTGTTAATCTAAAAGGTGAAGAGGTGAGGAGGAGCAGATTTAAAACCAAACTGGAAGGGGAATGAAGTGCAGAGAGCCACAGATGGAGAGTGAAGGCTGCAGATGGAGGAGGTGGAGGAAGTCAGATGGAAAATGAAGACGGGATCGAAAAATAATAAAGAGGAGATTGAAGAGCAGAGACGGAGCGTCAGTCTGCAGCCCAGAGCCAAAAACAGAGAAACAGAAACACAGAAACATGATCAGGGCAGAAGTGTTGTTCATCAGAGAGCGCACACTCCATTTAAACTGTGTGTGTGTGAGTGCAGGGACACGCAGGTGTGTGAAGGATCACTTCATTTCCACATGGAGGTTATCTCTCTGGAAAAACGTCTACAGGAATTTTGTTCTTATTTTGACGAGTAGGTGATTTATGCCGCCAAGGAGCTGAAGGGCCTGAGACAAACTCAGTGGCATTTAACTACAAAACACACACACACACACACACACACACACACACACGCACGGTCATACACACACAGAGTCCCGTAATGTGCTCACACAGACCAGCTGACATTTTAAAAACCGCAGCGTAGCAATAAATCCTCCTCCGTCTCTGTGTTTCTGACTTTCACAGATGAGCGTGTAGCCCCTCTGTCTGCTGATCTTGAACTTTTACTTAAAAACCAAACTCCGAGCTCCTCACACCCTAAAGTCCCTGATCTGTTGATGATCCCATCTCCCCCTCAGAGTGATTGAGACCTTCCTGAATGATGAAGATATTCCTCTGACCCCAGTATTTTCAGGGTCGGCTGAACTGAAGCTCATCTGCAGTTAAAATCATGAGACCAGCCCGGCGCTTTAAAAACTTTATAAGAATTCAAGTCCCTGAGTTCAGATTCATTTTAATATCACTCCCTCTGGCTTTTAGCATCTTCAGCACCTCATATCTGTAGAATAATATACGACACATTAAAGGAGTAGTTCAAAGTTTTGAGATATGTGTGAATTATTACCTGTTTGGTTGTTTCTGAAACAACTTTTACGAAACACTAGATCTAAAACGAGCAGATATTTTTCCTTAAACAACATTATTCAGCATTATGGATGTTGTGCTATTTCTAATTAAAGGGATATTACAGCGTAAAATTAAGTCAAGGTCAAACACACCGTAACACTGAGTTAGACACCCCCCTCAAGAGATGAATGTTGCAGACCGCTTGCTTCTCCAACTTTAGTAACGACAGCACGATATTCGTTGTTATTCGTTGTTAAGGTGTTTTGGACTCTAACTCAATTTTACACCGGAACATCCCTTTAAACATACGATTTACATAATATGCAAACCACATGGTTTGTATGAGTATATTACGTCCCTCTTTTGTATCAGTTCTGAACACTCAGAGCAGCTCCTCTGTTTATACTCAGACTTCAACCTGTAAGACAGGAAGAAATGCTTTTATTTTGACGGGAGTTTCCTGTCGCTGTAATGCAGCGAGGAAACAGGTGTTTTCCCTCTTCCTCAAACATCCACAAAGACTCAGAAACAAATCAATAAATAAACATCAAATTCAAATGTTAGTCAGATTCTTCAGCTCTGTTTTATTTCGTCTTTCTGTTTTTACTTTAATCACAGAAATATCAGGAACGTCTGGTTGGTCCTCAGCCGCTCTGTTATCTCATCCTCAGAGTCAGAGAGGCTGCTGGACTGGGCATCGGCATTCCTCACCCCCTCCTCCCCCGTCTCCCCCTCCTCCTCCCCCTCCTCCTCCCCCTCCTCCTCCCTCCACATCCTGTCGTTCCAAACATTCCTGGACTCAGAACTGAAGCCAAAAGTGGAGCTTTAAATTTACCTCTGCTCGGCCGACTCTCATGTGTGTGTGTATGTGTGTGTGTGTGTGTGTGTGTGTGTAAATGTGGGAGTAACTCTCTCTTTGTGAGTCAGAGTTTTACACCTGCAGAAAAAAGAGCTGGACCGTTATAAAAGAGGAGCTCTTATAAAGAAGTTGGACATTTCTGAGTGTGGGAGCGTCTTCAGTTGTTTGGACAGTTTCAAGAATTATAAATATGTTTTCAGACTCGACTTTTTTTTTAACTTGATTATTTTGGACCTTGGTGCTTTTCTGTTTTTTTTAGTTAAAGATGGGGGAGTTTAGGGTCTTTACAGTCAGGCTGAAATAACACAGATCTTTACTGATATTCAAACGGTTTGAATTGATGTCCTAAATGCAGGAGACAGTGGGGTCTTTCCCCATCATGCCTCTGTCCTTTTTCATCAAACCTAGCTAAAATCAGACAGTCTGACGTCTCCGACTTAAAACTTAAATCTTAATTTTATTACTTCACTGACTTGCATAACATGGACCTTGGTTTCTGGGAGTGAAAATGTCCCATCTTTCCAAAAATGGAGACGCTTTCGTAGGAGAGGGGAAACTTCAGGAATCTGAGGATATTTTTAAAAAGTCAGGACAGAGTTGGAAAGTTGAAATATTTCCATAAAAGAGTAAATATGATTTTCTGACATTTTTAACTTGATAAACATTTTAAAAAACAAGTAAGCAGAGTAAACAGGTTTAAAGGCTTTCAGTTCTACACCTGTGGTTTTGTGCCAGAGTTGTGGGCTGACCCTCACCCTACTGACTCTGACTCCCACAGCTGCCTCCTCCCTGCTCTGTCTTGGTTTCTGTATCCAAGTTTAAAAAACACATTTTCCCGACTTGACTTTGGATTTTTATCTTTTTACTTTTGTCTTTCTCTGACCCAAATAATGACTTGCACCATATTTTGTGTAAACACTGACTTTAAGTGTCCATTCTCTAAAGCTGCAAAATCACGAGTGTTTGCTTTCCCAGATGTTAAGCGTGGCGTCAGTCTGATTAAAACTTGCCCCCCACTGTCTCTCTCTCTGTCTCTGTCTCCCTGCCTTCTGGGTTCAGTGTGTTTCAGTGTTGTAACCTGGAGAGTAAATCCTGAGTGTTTCTGTCAGAGCAGCATGAGGCTCTTATTCCTGTTTCCTGCAGAAAGAAAGCATGTGAAAAATGCAGAAAGCTGAGATTTATGGAGGGATTGTGTCAGCAGGCGCTGAGAAATAACTGAGGATCAGTCAGAGGAAAGAAACCTGAACTCGAACATTTATTAATCTCTCTGGAGAGTTTGAGTCAAACTTCACAGTTTTCCATCCTCTCTGGTTAACTGTCCTGCCCTCCCTCTCTCTTTTAGTCTGGTATATCATTTCTGCTTCTGCTTTAAGGTTCAGACCCCATCCTGCAAATCTGCCTCTATTTTCCTCTTATATTCATGATCTAAGGTCTTCCTGTGCTCCTCTCCCGCAGGCTCTGTTGAAGATGGACTGCCAGGGACTCGTGGCGCGGCTCGTCATGGACTTTGTTCTCCTGACCACGGCGGTGGAGGTGGCCGGACGCTGGAGGGAGCTCGCAGAGAGGCTCGCCAAGGTTTCACGGCAGCAGATGGACGCGTATGAGGCGCCGCATCGAGACAAGAACGGAGTCGTGGACAGTGAGGTATGTCAGCTTTTGAAAGAGTAGATGAAGGTTTTATTTTCTTTATTGAACCTTTATTTAACTGGGAGGCAAACCAAGACGATCGCAGTCGCGTCACGTACAGTCATGTCAAGGACCCAATTGCAGAACAAAAAGTGATTTAATGAAAAAATAACTAAATAAAAAGCAACAAAAGCTCAGGACAAAATGTACAAAAGGCACTGGCAGAAAAAATCACAAGGAGATCACACTGGGGACACTGGGGACACTGGCATACAGGCACACACATACACACAATGAACCAACAAACAAACAGGGGAAGACAAGGACTATATATACACACAAGGAAACGAGCAACGAGAGGCAGGTGAGACACTGAGACACAGGTGAGGACAATTACAGAGGAGGGAAAACTGAGGAAGTAAAACAAGACTAGAAACACGGGGAATAAACTACTACAAAATAAAACAGGAAACACTGAAAACTGGAATAAAACACTGAGAACATGAGGGAAATGGGGTCAGACACAAACTCAAAATACACTCCAAGGAAACAGATCATGTGACCTTTGCCTTCTCCTTTCTCTGCAGGCGATGTGGAAGCCAGCGTACGACTTCCTCGTCACTTGGGCAGCTCAGATCGGGGACAGCTACAGAGACGTGATCCAGGAGCTCCACCTGGGTCTGGATAAGATGAAAAACCCCATCACTAAACGCTGGAAGCACCTGACCGGCACGCTCATCCTCGTCAACTGCTTGGACGCCCTGCGGAGCTCTGCCTTCAGCCCCGCCTCTCAGGATGACTACGCCATCTAACCCCGCCCCGCCCTGCCCTGCCCCTCCCTCCTCACCAGCTCACCCCGCTCTCTCTCTCTCTCTCTCTCTCTGGGAGACTCTTTCTTAGCCCGTCTGCAGAGGTGGTATTTTTGTACTCTTCTTACAGCATTTTATAAAACTTCACTTTGAACGCTTTGGTTACAAACTGTGGATCCAACCAAGACACTTTTTAAAAAGAGACACTTTTTATTATTATAATTATTATTATCATATCCTGGTCACACGTGTCGAAGCTGTTTTATTTATTTCTACAAAAAAAGAGAAACGTCACTTCTTCCTCTTCTTCAGGTTCTCTCTGTGGTCCTCTTCATTTCACTCGTCCAAATACTCTCAATCTTTAAAGGAACGTTCTGGTATTTACAGCCTCTTTACCTGCTGCAGGATGAAGAAATCTTCTGCAGATATTCAGAAACCCTAAGTCATTTCAACTTTAAATGTTTTAAAATGAATCACAGGCTAAAAAAATAACAGAACTTTCCTTTACAAGCTGCCAAGAAAACAGAAGCATTTCTTAATTTTTACAGGTTTACTAAAACTTTCTCTACTGGTGCCAAAAAATGACAGAGGTCTTCAACAAAATGAAAAAACGCTAACAGGTTAAACTGCTGAATTTGGTACAAGAAGCATTTTAAAGGTCTTTAATTCAAGCGTCTTAAATTTCAGAGATTACTGCTCTTGAGATTATCTTCACTGTGATGAGTTTTCTGGATTAACTTCTTCACTTCTTCTGGTTCTGACAGCATCATCACATGGTCTTCATCAGCAGATTCGGTTTACTCATCTTTAAAAGGAACATTTTAATCAGCAGCTACTTCTCCACCACGTCACTAACGGTGGATTTAAACTGTTTTTAAGGAAATTCCACTCCAGCAGAAAAAGTCCCAGAGTCTGTCTCCACATACCAAGTGCGAGTAAATTCAATGTCTCAACTTGAGCGGATATTCACATCGTGATAACCAATCAGTTCAAAGGTTGCTGGGTGACGTATGAAAACAGATGGTTTTTCACTGGTATCTAAAACGGAGGATCGTGTTGGTGTCTGGGTACCCCGAATCATACGATACGTTTTCTTTCAATTACTAAAAACCACAATGAAAAGGAGCTCGCCTGGAGGCAAGTGAGTGAGAAGGTCGGATTACCTGGTAAATTGTAAAAAACTTTTGTCTATCACTTGATCCCAGCGGTTGAATTGGCAGGGATTACCGCTGAAATTAGCGAGTAAATACTATTCATTCATGCGTCTCGATTCGCAGGAATTAAGTGAGTTAATGATTTTACTCCAGCTTGTTTTATGGGGCGCTCACACCAAGCTTAAGTATTAATCTAGAGTTCAGGAACTCTAGGTCTGACTGAGGTGGATACATGGAAGAGAAAGTCACACACTTGTCACTCAAAGTGGCCACACCCCCTTATTTTCCACAACTTGAAACCTTAATCTAATTAAAATGTGTACTTTAAAATAATTTTACTACAAAATGAAAACAAAGAAATGAGCCCAGACTGTGTTTTATTTCAGGTTCTGAAGATGTTTATTTCTGCTGTAAGGTTTTAACATGGGGCTCTACTGGAACTTACTCACTGCCGGTCATAGCCCCTAGTGGACAGGAGAGGAACTGCAGCTTTTTTTACTCTTTTTGAGGTTCTTCTTGGTCTTCAGCTCCCAGTATCTTTTTTTCTTTGTAATTTTCCATCAAGAGCATGATAGAAAGAATCTCAACGAGAGTTAAATCCTAGTCTGTCACTTTCTGTCTTAATCTAAGTAATATCAGATGGTCTATATCCAAAGTTTCTCTAGGCCAGAAGGAGTGTGATGGATTTTAAGCATCTGAAACTTATTTTAGACATTTTTAAGCCCTTTTAAAAACTTTAGTTGAGTCGAAACTGTCAAACTCAATCTGCTGATGAAATGACTAAAAGCCTCAGAACAGATTGTTGTGTCATTTATAAATCTATTGATTGATTTATAAAGTAAAATTTCAGCCTTATTTTTCATAAAACAACCAAACCTCACTTTCTTTTCTTTTGCCTGTTTTTCTTCGTCCTGTTGAAGCTTTTTCTACCAAAGTTTGCCAAAAATCCTCACTGATCTGTCACGTTGTCATCGTTTGACCATTGTTTTATATCTGTCTGTCACGGCTTCTGTTCGCTTTGTCTCAGCGCTGCATACTGTAGTGAGTTTGAACCTCTTTGTGGCTGCAGACTTCTGTGGAAAAGACTCTGAATAAATAAAATGTAAATATTTGTACACACACTGCGTCGGTCTGAACTTGTTTCTATCTGAGAACACGGACAGAGCGTCAGATGGAGCTTTTTATCAGGAACAGAGCGACAGGCCGTCATGTTTCGCCTGTTATCAGCGCTCTGTTTGTGGAAAAACAGGCTGGAAATACAGCCGGTGAGAAAACGAGCAGTGAAGGTAAACTGTGCCGCAGGCCGAGCCCGGAGAGAGGTCGAGCTCAGAGAGGGGAGATAAAACCGAAAGAGGGAGGTTAGAGAGAAAGGCTCTGCAGCACAATGACCTCCTGCGGCTCATCCATTCATCTTTACGCTCTTATTATCTCTATATGTCTCATTTTCTACAGATCGCACCATGCAGCCTCAAATACAGTGTGAAGGTACAAATAAAGGCTGATGGTTCAATCTCCCAGCAGCCCTCCTGTACAGTTAGAAATGTTTTTGCTATGTGGAAAACAAAAAGAAAGCATCACAGAGAGAATAACCCACTGCATGGTTTCAAAGAGTGTAATAATATTCTGGAAAAGACAGTTACATAACCAAAAAACATACATGTGGAGTTCCCCAAGGCGCCATCCTGGGGCCTCCTCTGTTTAACATCGACATGCTCACACTGCCTTTTATTGTAGGAAACAACCAAATCAGGTACTATAACTACGTAGACAACACATAGTTACACATCTCAGTGTTACCAGGTGACCACGACCCCATGTTGACCCTGAATAAACGTCATAAACAAATCCATGGATGTAGGTCCAAAACGCTCTTCATTCAAACAAAGATGAAACTGAGGGAGGAGAAATTAAAAGTAAGTCAACAGCCTCAGATGCTGCAGATGAAAATGAGTATAAATATGCCTTGACTGTATGAATTATTATACCGAATTATAGCGAATTGTAATACTGTGAGATTTAAACGAATTATGTTTTCATGACTTCGATCTGTAGTTTGAGGTTTTTATTTTTAAGCCTCTAGTTTTACATTTTAGCTTCTCCAATCTGCAATTTTCACAAGTTCAATCAGACAACCTGAGAAGCTGAGTAGAGAATATAAATGTCACATCTGTCGAATTTAAGACGAACTAGAAACTAACCTGTGAGCTACACTTTATAACCAGATATCAATCAGACCTCACTGACATCCTGCAGTTTGACTAAATTCTGCGCCCTGCAGCAGGAGTAACATCTGTAGGATGGAAAAACTCAAAGCACAGAACCTAAAGCATTAAAAAAAGTTTTTGGTATGAAGACTTCAACAAGTGTTCACAAGCTTTTGGTCCTGCAGTGTTCAAACCGTGGTTATGAAACCTGAGGGGAGTAAAAGCAGGTTCTGACTCGTCTGATATCAGAGAGCGCTTTGACTATCAGTGAGCTGTTTTATCTGCTCGGTTTCAGGATCGAGCTACCTGACTGGACAGCAACTCTACCTTTAGAGACTGAAGTTCAGAAAAGTGCAGTTCCTTTAGTGTCCACTTGAGGCTGTCTTCAGTGGTGAGTTGGTCTGCATACTATGTAGCTCCAAATTGAAGGAGACTTAACACAGTCTCCTCCTCTCTGCTCTTTGTAGGCTCATCTATGAAGATACAAGCTGAAATACACATAACAACAGAGTGACCATATTCTGAATTCCCAAAAAGAGGACACAGAGTCTCGGAGTTACGCATATTTTATACGTGCTTCAACCTCAGTAAGTCCACGTGACACAAACTCCAAACTTGCTTTCAAAACCCCCGACACTTGGAGGATTTTATAAACTCCTCGACAAAGCCGGACCAGGCCGAACAGCCCCCAAAAAAAGAGGACATGTCCAGGTAAAAGAGGATGTACGCTCACTCTACATCACAGTACTGAATGGAGCTACAGCTGTGTAAATAGTAACACCCCAAGTTATGTTTAACTTTCTATTCGTGTAAAAGCAGCAAAATGAAGAATTTCAGTGAGATGCTAAAGAGAGGATCAGAGACCGTGTTCAACAGGTGCCCCGGATTGAAAAAATGTTGAACTCAGAGGCTTGTGAGTAACTTTTATGCTTCTGCACGGCTGCTCTCTCTGCAGATCAGGGGAACTTTGATTTCCTGCTTCATGCTCGGTCACCACAAAGAGCCAAATTTAGAAACAGCTTTATGGAAATGGAAATATATGAGGCAGCGAGGGCAGAGAGGAGCCACAGTCATTCAGACTTTAACCCTGCGTTAAAGTGTCCAGCATGTTCTGCACAAACAGAGCAGGAGGATATCGAGTTAACATGCTGATCTGCAACCTGTGCACAGAGTGAACCAGAGCGTCATGTGCAGAGAGAGTATTTAGGATGATTTTTGGAGGCCTGAAAGAGAGTAAAATCACAGATACGTTGAGGATGACGGTGCAGAGTGAAGGTGTTGAATGAGCCGCCCTGTCTCTCCTCCGTGAGCAGATTATTCTGGATTTGAAAGCTGGGAGCAGAGCTGTGTGCTGCTCGGCGAGCTGTCACCCGGGGGGAGCTCATTACGGTGCTGCAGGCCGGGATCTGAAGCATGTCAACCCAAACTCTGCTGTAATTAATTTCACTCCTTTGGCTCTTTTTTCTCCTCCATTAATCTGTGTATTTAATTAAGGTCTGCCCGCTTTACCAGCACTCAGAGCGGGAAGCTGGAGGAGAGAGAGGAAGAAAACTAAAAAGCAAAGTTACAGACTATTAGATACAGAACTCAGCCAATTATCAGAGTAGAAGAAGCAGGTCTTCAGGTTTCCTCTTTGACTCGAACACTGTGCTCTTTGATTTCTCACACAAACGGATCCGTCACTCCATCAATCTGACAAAGTGGCCGCTCTCCCCGCAGGAGTCGTAAACTGTGAGATGAGTCAGGATAGAAAGAGAAGCACATTTTCTCTACAGCACTTTCCCTCAGTTTGTTTTATTTCCATTCAATGACATTTCATCAAGAAGTCCCTCCCTTCCTGATGCAGTTCAGTCTTGAAGAAATGATACAGTCAGACCAGATTTGCGAAGGAAATTCCCTCAAACCTCTTTCCCACTGTTTCATCTCTCCTCCTCCACAAAGTCAGAGCCGTATTTGCATTTCCATTTCCTCTCAGTGTGACAGAAACACAGCAGTGAAACGGTGACCCCGCCGCTCTCTGACACCGTGATGGCTCTGTTTTTATCCTGTCAGCCGCAGCTGCGTGATGTGAGTGAAACTCCAGCAGACTGAGAGTCAGAGACGTCTCTGCCATGAGGAGCAGCTCCCCGGAGCTTCAGTCAGTCTCTCTGAGGCAGATATCAGCAGAGCACAGAAAAGGTCAACGACCTGAAGTTACCTCAGAGACAGTAAATGAAACAGTTTCCTCCGTCTCGCAGAGAAAACTGACCCTGAAGGAAACCAATTGAATTCTGTTTTTACTCAGACAAACCTCTGCTCTCATGGTTGTCTTTGGATGGATTTCAACACATTTCTGCAGAATCTTGTCTCGTCTGAAACGTGTTGAAACTTGTTGAAGCTGCAGATGAATACGAAAGAAGAAACTTCACAACAAACTCAAATCAGTCATTTTATTCTTCACAGCAGCTCATGCAAGGTTACAGAGTCTATCTGCGTAGAGATATACCGACGAAAAGTACAGGTACCAGTACTTAAAGGTCCTGTGAGGACTTTAGATTTGTGGCGCCCCCTGTAGTTGAATACGTATCTTGTCTCTTTTATCTTGTATGTGCAAAAGCAGCCTGTTGAAAATACTCTCTTCAGGATATATCCTCTGAAGTCGGCAGTGTTGAGGCAGTGACAGGTGTCTCTACAGTCACACAGTGTATCGCCGCTCCAGGTGAGTTATAAGGTCAGTCACTCTGTCTGTGCTCTTCAGAGCAGCAAAAATAAAGCATCTGACTTTTCAAGATGCTTGTCTATCCAGTAAAACACCCAAACTTTTGGAGTTCAGAGGTGGAGAGTTAACTCACTCAGCCTCATGTTTGTTTTTCACGACTCTTACCCTGTTGTTGTGATTTTACTATTTCCAGTTGGACCCAGAAGCAGAGAGACAGACAGGAGGAGATGGGTGAAAAGGTGTTTTATTGAAAGCTAAAGGATAGGTGGGGAGGATGGGCGGAGTAAAACTGGAGCTCCAACATTTGTGGATGAATATTTCACAATAAATAAGGAGTATTAAACAGTTTAAGACGCACATGTTTAAATCAAGAGGTGGTGGAGACCAAAAACAGAGATACAAGACTAATAATAAACCACTGAAGGCCGACTCATGGTATATACAATTTCTCTTTTATAGTGTTAGGAGTCTTTATACTGTTGTGCTGCAGAATTCATTGTTTCCAGAATATCAGCACTAACTGTTGATTTATTTTTCTCATCTACTTGAATTTTTCAAACATTTCCACCTGCACTTGAGGTTATTCAACATTTATTCCAAATAATTGTCCAAGTTAATGAGCGCAATGCTGCTCCTCAGAGGATAAACCCTCTCTGATGTGAATGACCTTTTAACTTATTCAAACATTTTTCACCCATTCTTGAGAGTCGGGACAAAACATGTCCTACATAGAAAAGTCTAATTTATTCAAAACAATTAAGAAATTCTAAATGTTTGACATACTCAAAAAGTTAAATCTAATGGATTTGTGTATACCAATCCTATTTTTTAGCACAGATATTTACTTTTTTGGGGGATATTTGTTTAAATGAAACGTCTGTGGTTAGAAGGTCCATGTTATTGCTTGTGTCCTCAGCAAGAGGTCACAATAATGACCAGCCCCAAAAAACTTTAAAAAACTCTATAATTGTGAAAACATATAAATCAAATAAAAATTCAGGGCTATAAATATATAAACAATGAATGGCCTGAACATCAAATAGCTTTTTGCCTAAAAATCTGCCTATCAAAGTTGTGTCCTCAGTTTCTGTCAACTCCGTCAGATTATTCTATAAACCTCATTAAATCATGCAATATCATGGTCAGCTATATCCCTGAGCACCCCTTTTCATTTCCTGCTTCTGGTGAATGCAGCACCACCACACATGGTCTGGTAG